TATTATATTAATTTATTGATTTTTAGCATTATAGGTTTAAATCAGCATTTATTTTGATTGGCTAACTAGTTTTGGAATGTTTCGCTAGTATCGTCCAGTTTCGCCAGTTTCGTCTTAGTTTCGGATTATCGGAAAGTTTCGGATTTTCATTCTTGAAAGCCGAAAATTTTTGACCTTAAGATTTTGGTTTCGCCCACAACTTTAGTGATGCCAAAGTTTTCAGCAAAGCGTTCTCTATGATCTGCATCAAAAAGCCACTCGTTTTTGTTTGTAAGCTTCATCCTTTAATTTATCAAAAAAAATGATGCTGCACATTCGGCAAATTTGACAAGGTAATATTTTCACCCTTTTCTTTACTCATAGCGTGAGAGTATTTACTGGAAGGTTTGGTTTTATTTGAGCTAGATGTGTCCATGGATTGGTTTCCGAGCAATTTCCGTGTTTCCAATACTTTATCTGTGGTATGATTTTGATAACGGAGAAGGTGTTGAGGAAAAATATTCTGATCGTGCACCCTGATCTTGTGTGCTCTGGTTCTGTGCTTTCTTGGGATTAATATTTGATTGTTTTGATGTAGAATATCAAATGTCAATGCATAAACATTTTAAAAAACAAATAGACCCTGAGAAAAACTGTACCTTACGACAGGTGAAACAAATAGTAAACATGTTGATCTCTAATCCTCTGCACAATTTTTTCGACTTGTATCCAAATCTATTAATATTTAAAGCAACTAATTCTATATTCTTTTCATAACAAAAATAACGTTTCGAACGCTTACCGCGTCTTGTGTCCACGTTGCCTTAGTTTGGGCATGAGAGGTGGAAAGAGTAGAGTCGTTCATATTGTCCAATTGGGAGAGTTTTATGAAAATAAGCTAGAAAACTTAATAAACTACAATGAATATGAATTGCTTGACAAATTTTGTCACTCCGCGTGTCATATATTAGTCAATACCACTAATTTATTTTAACCCCATTGACTGACGCGATTACAATTTATGATTGGTCAAGACACATCACGTGCTAACAAGCACACATAAATTTTTTTTTGATCACAAAAACTTAGGAAAAATATAAAAATGAAATTTTAAGTTATATTAACGTTAACATATATCAAAATTTAATTTTTTATAAAAATTTTAAATTATAATTTAACATAAGCAAAATTAATTTATATCATTTTATTGAATAACTATTAAAAGTATTGATCGTCACGCATCTAAAAGTTCTTTCTTCGGTGGCGTTAATTATGTCATGTACTTCCCCTACTTGCATAAGCAATTGTTCTTTAAACAAAGAAAATAAATAATACACATTTCCAATAGAATTTCTTAAAAATCCCAAATTGCCAATTTGAGTATAATTTTAGAATTTTAATTTGGAATTTCACAAGGATATTCGATGCAACATTTCTCAAGTTTAACCAGAATCGGAAATGGTTTTCCAACATAAAAATTATATAATGTTTAATTATTCAAATTAGTAAATTTCAATTTCTTATTCTAACAAAATGGAGCTAACAATTACAAATAATGAAAGTTCTTTTGACCCAACTCCAAAATTAAAATCCAGTCCTATACAAATTACGTTTATTCCTTTTAAATACGTACGGAGTCATAAATGTTATTGTGGGAATGAATACTCTGAAACACGTTTATTTTATCAAAAATATTGTAAAAGATGCTTTTCCAAGTATATTGGTTGTGTTGATAAAAATAATACGTATTTGGATTTGTTTATAGTTACAAATAATGTACAATGTAATAAACATGAAGCTAGGAGTATAAATTATTGCACACAAACCATTCATGAATGGTGTGAATTTTGTTCCGACATTTTATATTTCAAACAAGTATATTATAATAGTCGTGACGTTCTTTTGAGAAAACACGAAATATTAGAAAATAATAAGGATTGTAAATTATGTGGAAAATCAGTTTATCAAACGATATCGAATAGTTACAGTAGCGGTCATAAGTATCTGACCCCTCATAATTCTTAAAGTTAATTAATAACACCCATTAAAATTTTCCAAA